GGACACCACATTTATGAAGCAGCGAGGTGGACCCTGGAGCCAGGAGGTGACAGGAAGCTGCTGTGAGCCCTGTACCTTTATGTGCTCGTATGTGTACAGGGGGAGGCCCAGAGCCGCTCCATAGTTACACACATGGCTTTTAATTCTGTGAAATGTCATTTATGGTGAACCTGGAGCTCCGCCTTCTTCAGAAACAATAGTGAGGCTTAATCCAATGAGGTGGGCTGACAGAGACATCTCACCTGTCAGAGACCTGCAAGTCACATAGATTCCTGGGGCTGAGCAGCTCCCTCCCACCTGGCACTGCCTCTCTCCTCCCTCTGGGGTCTCCCTGTCTCCCTGCTTCCTCACCATTCCCTCTTCCTTTCAGGTGTCCCCCCACCATCTCCAACATGATCACAGAAACCCCTCAGGATGAACAGAGGGTCCTTCAGAAAACCCAGCAGGCCCCTCTTATGATATCCTGGGATATCAAGTCTCAGGCACGAATCGGTTTTCTTTTCTTGCAGGCTTGCTGATTTTTCAGACAACCAGTTATAACAACTGGGCAGAGTTCAGCTTGGGAGATAAATGAGGGCCTGGATATGAAGATTGTTGTGTTTCCTTCATAAGAGTCTTCCCAAGAGGGTCCCGTTATGCAGCACCCTCCCCTACCCCCCCCCACCCCGCTTTGCTCTAGCCTGAGTCATGCTGGAACTTACAGAGACCAGCTGTCCTGCGGAACAACCCACATGTGCCTGGGGCAGCCCTCTGGGGCGGCTGCAACATTGACCAGGCTGCCAGGAAGGTGTGTCTCTTTCAAATGACCTTGCAGAGCGTGCTGGCCTGGTCACTGGCCAGCAAACCTCCTTCATCCCATCCTTGATTGCTCCTTTTTGCTGGCTGACAGCCTGAGCTTCCGCCTTGGGGGCTCCTGGCTCAGTCACGCCTGGGAGGATTCCCATGGAAACCCCACAAGAAGGAGAGGCTCGGGGAAGCCTCATTGATTCACACTCCAGGAAGACAGCCATGAGACGGTTCCACCTGGAGCTGGACAGATGGCTCTCTTTGTGAGCTCTTGGGAAGGAAGGGCTTGCCCAGCCAGATGTAGCATGAGCTCTGTGCATGTGTACAGCGGAGAAAAGCTAATGGACGCCAACGAATAAAACAGTGGAGGAGGGTGGTTCTTTAGCTCATTCATCATTGGCAGGTTCATTCGCAATGAGCATCTTTTTTTTTTTTTAAAGATTTTATTGGGGAATTGGGGAGGAGAACAGCGTTGGGGAATTGAGAAAGGGGAACAGACAAGTTGCTGTCCTTTTATTCTTCAGTCTAGTTGTGGAGGACGTCGCTTCACTGGCCCATGTTGGTATTACCATTGCACTCTTCCCAGGTGAGGCACTCGCTCACGGTGGCTCACAGCAGCTCATGAAAGCTCACTGAAAGCTCACGCCGCTGCCCGCCAGCCCCACTGCAGCCTACGCCGTCACCGGCAACTCACAGCAGCCCAGCTCCAGGTCGAGCTGTTGTTCACCATCTTAGCTGTACATGAGGGCTCACTGGCCCTCATGTGGGATCCGAACCGGGGCCCGGCTGCTCAGAGCTGGCGCCCCAAGCCAACTCGTAACCAACGCGCCACTCAGCCGGCCCCCAATGAACATCTTTTAATAAAACAGACCCTCTACTTAATATTTGTACCAAGAAAATCTTAAAAACATCCCAGTCGAACCAGGTCCACATAGGTATCATTGTCTCTGTACAAATTGTACCGAAACAAAAACTGAGGAATGCAGACCGAGCTCATGGAGCTCTGCGCTCCCNCTGAACAAGGTGCTGATTTACAGCTTCATCTGAATTGAATGTTATACCATGCAAGGAGTTTTGAAGAGAGTGAAACAAGTGGAAGTCTGACGGCGCAAGGTCAGGCGAGTATGGTAGGTGTGGCAACACATCCCATCCAAGCTCCAATAATTTTTGATGGGTGATCAAACTTGTGTGTGGTCTCTCATTGTCGCGATGGAACACAACTCCTTTACAATGAACAAGCTCTGGACGTTTCTGAATGATGGATTCGTTCAAACTGTCCAATTACCAATAGTACACATTCAAATTGATTGTTTGGTTCCTTGGTAGGAGCTCGAAAAACACAACACCTTTATAATCTCACCACTCTGAGAGCATAACCTTCCTCTGATGAATGTCTGCTTTCGATGTCATTTGAGGCGAATCATCACATTGGGACCAAGACCATTTGCGCACCATGTTGTTGTAAACAATCCACTTCTCATCACCAGTTATCAGTCGCTTCAGAAAAGGATTATTTTCCTTACGTTTAATAAGCAAATTTCCTTACGTTTAATAAGCAAATAAACATATTGCAGATGTTTATACACGCCGTCAAATGAACTTCTTTGAGTTCATGCGGAACCCAAATATCGAGCTTGCTTACGTATCCCAGTTTCTTCAGGTGGTCATGAATGCTTGAATGATAGATGATCAGTGTTTCTGAAATCTCTCGTGTCATGTAATGTGGGTTTGACTCGATCATTGCCTTTATTTTGTCATCAGCCTCGGTGGGCCTCCCTGACCAAGGAGCATTGTTGAGATCAAAATCACCAGCACGGAATTTCGTGAACCATCATTGGCACTGATGTTCTTGTAGAGCATTGCCACCATAAACTTTATGCAACTTTTCACAAGCTTGACGCACATTCTTCCCTTTATGGAAGTAAAACAGTAAAACATGGCAAAAATGCACAGTTTGGTTTTCCATCTTCAACTTGTTGTAAAATCTCCAAAACTCAACCAAATCCCTCAATTTCTTTTTTAGAATGAAGCTAGAACTGTCAGCTGTCAAGTGACATAACAATAACATAGATGCGAATGACTCTAGTACTTCCAAAAATGAACTAGTGCCATCTGTCGCAAACATGCATCATGACTTTTCCGACAACCCAATGGTAAGTGTGAAAAGAGGTCAGAACTGCCACTCAGGTCCGTTCAACCACATTTACTCAATATCTGTTCTGTGCTGGGCACAGGGGATCTGGAGATGTATAAAATACAGATACTTGCCCTCTGGGAAGGAGGGTTCGCAGCATTAGGAGGGAGACAGGTATACAAATGCAATGACAAAACAGTAGAATAAGTGCAATAAATACTTGATAAATATGCCCTTTTGCCACCCCACCGTGACTGTTCTATATAGTTCAGGAAGCATCACCTTTTGGTTGCCTATTTCAGTAGCTTCCAAGCTGGTTTCCTTCATCTGTTCACTCTGTTGCTGAGAGAGCGTCTAGAATGCAAACCTGACAATGTCACTACCCTGCTTAAAGGTTTCCCCAACTGATACCTGGGAAAGGCCAAACTCTTGGGATTGTCCCCAAGACCCTAGCTACTGTCTACCCCTTCAGCTTCATCTCACCACCTTCTGCTCACACCCCAGTCATATCACAGGCTTTATGTTGTGGTAGGTACCTACCTGGCCCCCTGCCTCCAGGAGCTAATTTGTGTAGCCACCTCCACTAGGAATCATTCCCAGATTGCCCTTCCTAGTCTGGGAAAGGGGCCCTCCAGCCTCCATTAAAGTATTTCCTTCACAGGGTTGGGTTGTCTTTACTTGTCAATGTCCCAGATGAAATGGGAGCTCTGCAGCTAGGCTCTTTGGTGCTTGGCACAGAGAGGGCTGGGGTCGGGCGAGACGACTGTGGAATGGAACCGAGGCCAACTGTGGGAACACAGAAGGAGGCCCTCTCAGACCAGGAACTTTAAATTTCCCCAAGGAAGCACAGAGGCTAGAAGCACCCTCTGGGCCTCAGCTCTGGCCACGCCCTCTTCCTTATCTCTCAGCTCAAGCTCGCAAAGCTGCAGCCCACCAAGCGGCCCACCTTCAGCGCTGGTAGCCGGCTGAGCAGCGAGACTCCTTTCCCTGCGACTCGGGTGGGCTGGGAAGGCTCTGTGCAGCAAGTATGAAATCGGACTTTAAGTGATGAGTTGGAGCTCGATCTTAAAAAATAAAGTGTGGACATGTGTCTGAGGTAGAGGATATTAAAGCAGGCTTCCCCAGCTGCTATTTCCCGCGTGCGTTGGGTCAAGTCATCAAAGCTGCGGATTGACTCTGGGTATCTCCTCCCCCACAGGGGCACCCACCCTCGTGCTCCCGGCGCGATTGAATGAAAGGAGGCGGACCAACACGTGCATGAATGAGTGCGTGAGTGAGGGAGTGCGCGGGCGGGAGGGAGGGTGAATGGCGACCGTGCTGCAGACTCCGCACAGGGGAGCGGGCGCGGGCTCCACTTCCCTCTCCCGCCAGCTGGTGGCCTCGGGAAGGTGGCGGCTCCGGCAGCGGCCCGAGCTGGGACGGGCCGGGACGCGGGATGGTGGGGGAAGGGGCGTTCCCCGCGGCCGCGCCTTCCGCGGCTATTGGATTAGTGGCCTTCAGGGATGAGCTCAGCCGGATCGGCTTTCAGCTGCAGCCTCCGGGCCGGCCGGGAAGGCGGGGAGCGGGCGGCGGTGGAGAAGGAGGGGGAGGCGGCGGCGGCGGCTGCAGCATCCAGAGCTGGCCGCGGCGGCCGGCGCTCTCTGCGCACAAAGGCGCCCAGCCCCTGGGGAGGGCGATGAGCGCACCGCTGCCCGGGCCGGGGCCCTAGCTCCAGCTACCGCTGCTTGCGCCCAGGGCACGGAGGAGGACTCAGGGCGCGCCAAGGGCCGGCGGCCGAGGCGCGGCCCGTGAGACCCGAGCTCGGCACTCGCCGCCCTTTGGGTCCGGCACAGAGCTTCGGAAGGGCTGGAGAGGTGGCTTCCGCGCACCCCAGGGATCCGCGCAGCAAGGCGCTCCCCCACTCCCACCCGACCTCCCTAGCCCGAGCACCAACTTCCCCAAGAACGCTCCAACTCCAGGCCACCCTGCCGGGCAGAGGGAGCGCTGCTGCGGGGCACCAGCCGTGAGGACGCTCCCCTAGCCTCGGGGAGCGAGTCTGCATCTTCAGGGTCGCTGGTGCGCCCCTGAGTGGGCGGCGGCCGCAGACGCCTCTCCCGAGAGCCCAAGACCTGATAGCGCTGGCGATTCTTCACCGGCAGGCGTTTGCCCTCTCTTTTATGGTGAGTCTTCTCCAGCTTCTGATAAGGGGCGCCCTGGGGCGCGCGGGAGCGGGAAGCCGAGATCTGGCCGTGCAGACCGCGTGCCGGCCGGCACTCGCCACCGCGGGCGCTCCTGGCGTGGGTCCTGTCGGGGTCCCCGGGAATTCCTCTCTACCGGCTATAGCAGTCGGAGCTGGTTGGTTTGTGCGCAGCCGTGG